TGGTACCAGTACCATGCTGTTTTGGTTACTGTAGCCTTGTAGTATAGTTTGAAGTCAGGTAGCGTGATGCCTCCAGCTTTGTTCTTTTGGCTTAGGATGGTCTTGGCAATGCGGGGTCTTTTTTGGCTCCATATGAACTTTAAAGCAGTTTTTTCCAATTCTGTGAAGAAAGTCATTGGTAGCTTAATGGTGATGGCATTGAATCTATAAATTACCTGATCTCATTTTTTAAAAATGAAACTACTAATATAACTTATGGAGCAACTTATATACCAGGTGCTATGCTAAGCACTTTCTGTACTTTGTCTCATGCATCCTTCATGACAATCATTTTACATATAAGGATACTGAGGATCAGCAAGATGATGAAACTTGGCCAAGGTTATAAAGCTAGGAAGTGACAGAGTGAAATTCAAATCCAGGGCTGGCTGAATCCAGAGCCCATGTCTGTGCCCTACAGCACAATGCAGTGGGGAAGACAAATGTGGCCCTCATCTTAAATGGGCTCCTCTCTGTCAACCACAGCTCTATTTCCTTCTCACACATGGGGTAGGCCAGCTCCATGCACAACTCACACTTCTAAGCCTATGTACCTTAGGCCACTTCCTCAGCCTAGAATGCTTGCCCTTACTCCCCTATCTAACAACAGCATATTCTATTCTACTCAGTTAAGGATTGAGTCATATGCCCCTTCTCAGGTAGAATAAATTGCTCTTGTCTTTTTGCTTCCACCTTCATTAGTGTACCCTTTATTTTGTTTTTCTGTAGAGTTTAGCTCATTGTTGACCTGTCTCCCCTGCTAGATTCCCAGGCAGTTGAGGGCAGGCACCAAATTCTATTCACTCTAGCTCCATGGTGGTTTACCCGCAATGATTTAGTGGATGATCAATACATGTTTGTGAGCTGACCAAAGGACTGGCTGAGAGATACCCTGAATGAACAGACAAATACGTTCATTTGTGGCTGGATCCTGGGGCAGTCACACAGGCTACCCATGTGGACTAGACTGGCTGGGAGAGTCTGGAATCCTCTGGGCTCATTTTACTAGGCTGTAAACATAGGAGGCAGGTCATAGGGTACAGATGATATCTGCTTAAGGCCAACTCTAGGTCCATTCTGTGGTCTGTACTTTGAATTCATGTGAAGGGGCCAGGCTCTCCTAGATTGCTTATGCTGCGCCTTCCCATTCGTGGAAGTAAGGGCTTCCCTGCCTCCCTTGGGAACAGAAGATTTGTTCCCAAATGCCCCTGTGTCTGGTTATGGTTGTCCTGAGAGCGTCCAGAAGGAGCATGTGTTCTGTGGACACAGATACTGAAGTCCAGAAGCATTTTTGTTTTGATACTTCTTATCAAGGCCACCATGTTATGGCTTCTCAACCACTTTCTCTCATTTCATGTTATTAATCTCTGCCACAACGTTTTGAGGTGGATCCTAATATCCCTGTTTTGTAGCTGAAGAACCTGAGACTGAATGAAATGTCTTGTTCATGGTCACACAACTAAGTAAGTGGCAGAGGCAGAATTCAGTCTCGGGTCTGTCTGCCCTTTCAAAAGCCTGGCATCTTAACAGAAAATACATGGGAGAAACACGAACTCCCCTCCCATAAAATGGAAAGGATTGGATTTATAAAATGGATTACATATTAAGGTTTGATGTTTCTCAATTATTGTTCACCTTTAATCCCTCAAAATGATTTACAAAAATGGCAGGAGTTGGGGATTGAAAAGTACAATCCCTCTATCAACTATTGACCTGAATGCCCCCATATCAACACCCTCTGACAGATACAGTATGGAGATGACTAAAAATTATTTTGCCCTTTCTTCTCCATTTACAGCTCAGGTGGGTAAGGCTCCAAGATGTCATTGAACTTCTAAAGGTCACACATCAAGTTAATAACAAAACTCACTTAGAATGCTAGTTATCTCATACTACCCCACCTGCTTCCTGGCCTTTCTAGGGTAGGTGCAATAGTTGGGAATCCTTGTACTGCCAAATCCTAGCCCAGTTTTCTTTCTGCTAAATCATCCTGCCTCATGGTGTCAGTGAACACGTTTATAAATGGTAGGGAGGAAATGGAACATTACTGCACTCTAAGGTAGAAGAAAGGACAAATATTTACCTCACTACCTGTCCTTATTTAGGTGAAGGTAAGACTTTGGAAAGAAGATAGTAGGAGAGCTGAGGACTCTTGGGGGCTTCTGTGGATTTAGCGGCCTGGGTATCTGGGAGGAGTCCCCTTTGGCTCTGGAGAAATGGAAGTGGGGCTGCCAGGGGCCAGAGGTGGCCTAAAGGGATGCAAATAGTGGGCCTCTTGAGCTTTTACTCCTGCTCTGTTCTCAGCTAAAGGGTCAGAGGCAGAGGGGCCCTCCCAGTTTACTGGCTATGAGGGTAAAGGAGGCTGAGGCTTAAGGCCATCATGGAATGTGGGGGTAGGGGGACATGGTGATGGGCAGAGTACAGGAGGCTGAGCCTCCATCTCCCTCCACCAAGAGGTGAGTGTGGCTCCATGGGAGGGGAGTGGTGGTAAAGTAAGATTGTGACAAAATGGATGGAGCAAAGGGGATAGGAATGAGAATGTGGGGATATGGATGGAACAGGGTGGGGTTAGAATGAGATTGTGGGGATGTGGATGGAGCAGGGGGATAGGAATGAGATTGTGGGGATATGGATGGAGCAGGGGGTATAGAATGAGATTATGGGGATATGGATGGAGCAGTGGGGATAGGAATGGGATTGTGGAGAGATGGATGGAGCAGGGAGAAGGGGCTAGGGAAGAGCAGAGCTGATGGGAGTGATTTTGGAAGGAATAGTACGCCAAGGCGGATTCTTGGCCTGGCAGCCTCGGGAAGGCTGCATTGGGCTTCTTGCAGTGTGTGACTTCCACTCCTCCCTGGGGACCTCAGCCTGGACTCTCTGGTCCCCCATCAGCCTGCTAGCTTAATTAGAGTCCCAACCTTCATGCCCCCCACCACATAGCTCAGGGTTCTGTATGAAACCTGTGGGTCTGCAGATCCTGCCAGACTTCTTGTCCCTGTCACTGTAGATGGAAGCCCTCCATCCTGGCCATCGTGCCCCTTCCCCTCTCCCCTGTCCTCCTGCCCCACACTCACACATCTCTGTGCTCCTTTCCCTGAGGTGGCAGCTCTGGCTACTGTACACCCTGTCTCGTCAGCCCAGGGAACCCCTCTTTCCTCCCCGGCAAACTCCCTCAGATCTGCACTGAGCATTCATTTTTTCTTTAGATCCCAAAGTTCCTTCATATGTCCTGGCTTCCAAATTGCTTCTCATACTAGCCATCTGCTTCCTGGCCTTTCTGGGGTAAGGAGCAATAGTCTGGGGTCCTTGCACTGCCTATTCTATCTAGTACAGTGGTTCTAAGCCAGGTTTTGCCTCCCAGGGGACATTTGGCAAGGTCTCAAGATATTTTTGGTCATCACACTGTGTAAGTCACCACTGGTGCTACTGGCACGCACTGAGCAAAAGCCAGGGAGCCTCTGAACATCCTCCAATGCACAGGACAGGCGCCAAGAATAAAAAATTATCCTGCCCAAAATGTCAATAGCACCGAGGTTAAGAAACCTTGCTCTATTATATAGCTACAGGTCTTCAAGGTTAGGCTTAGAAGTTGCCAGGTGCTGAGTCTTTAGGCACTGAACGTCCAGAAGCAGCTGCTCTTTCCTTTCCTCACTTGCTAGAGGGGGGCTGGGCGTTGCCATGAAACAGCTACAACTTGGGCAGGAATCTATGGAGAGAAAGGCGAGGGGAGATTCCCCCTCCCCAAATTTAATACCAACTTTTAGAGAAAGCATTGCACTTCAACTGTTAAATGCCTTTCTGCCTCTACAAGATAGTGCCAGATTTTTTAAAAAAGAGAATAGTAATGTATTATTCAAGTAGTTTATAAAATGCAGTTTCATGTCATGAAAGTTGATGCATTAAGTTTTGGAGTCTTCCCCTCCTCTATTTCATGTTTTTCCGTTGTAATCCTTTGAATATTGGAATATTTGCTGTGTCAGCAAAATACTGTAGTGGTGGCTCTGTTCAGAAAAACTGATTGCCTTTCTTTTAATTTAAAGTTAATGAATTCTTAATTTCTTAAGGGTGTGCTTATATATCAGAAACTGGCTCAAAGAGTTGCTTGTTTCCGTCGACCTGAGTTTCTTAGGGTTCATTTCTAATTAAGCAATGAAAATGCTTGCCAACAGAATTAATTGGTCAGTCTAATCTCTTTTTTTCCACCCTTGCCAGTTTCTTCCATCTGCACACAGTTGTCTTCAGCATGGGGGAGCAGAACCACTCTCCCGGGAAGGAGCTTCAGCCCAGGACACGAGCAGAGGCTCCAGGAAAGAAAAGCTGGCATTCCCAGGCCTACGCCCTTGGGGCCGTTTCCAACTTTATGTCTACTTTTCTGACGTTTCCTATCTATAAGGTTGTGTTCCGGCAACAGATCCATGCCATGGCAGTGTCAGAGGCTGTGAGACAGCTTTGGCACGAAGGTCCTCAATACTTCTACCGGGGAATCTACCCTCCTCTTCTCTCCAAGACGTTGCAAGGGACTCTTCTGTTTGGGACTTATGATAGCCTGCTGTGCTTTCTCTCTCCTGTTGGGCCACACACCCTGGGACACCGCTGGGCTGCAGGGCTCATGTCTGGCGTGGTGGAGGCTGTGGCACTCAGTCCCTTTGAAAGGGTGCAAAATGTGCTCCAGGATGGTCGCAAGCAAGCTCGCTTCCCCAGCACCTTCAGCATTCTCAAGGAATTCAACTCTTATGGGCTTTGGGGGCGGCTGTCACTGGGTTACTATCGTGGTTTCTGGCCTGTCCTGGCCAGGAACAGCCTGGGGAGTGCTCTATATTTTTCTTTCAAGGACCCCATCCAGGATGGCCTGGCAGAGCAAGGCCTGCCCCATTGGGTTCCTGCCTTGGTGTCTGGTAGTGTCAATGGAACAATCACCTGCCTAGTTCTGTATCCTCTGATTGTGCTGGTTGCTAATATGCAGTCCCATATTGGATGGCAGAACATGCCAAGCCTGTGGGCCTCTGCCCAGGATGTGTGGAACACTCGGGGTCGAAAGCTGCTCCTGATCTACCGTGGAGGCTCCCTGGTCATCCTAAGGTCCAGTGTGACATGGGGCCTCACTACGGCAATCCATGACTTCCTGCAGAGGAAGTCTCACTCCAGGAAAGAGCTGAAGACTGACTAGCTGCAGAAAGTGTGGCCATGGCAGCTTTGTTATTCTAAATCTTCCCTGGTTGGTTCTATATAGCTTACTTCTTTGGCTCAGTTGCCTAATACAGCCATCCTTTAGCATCTGTAAACTCATTGCATGGGAGAAGTTCCCAACTACCAACCTGTTGAGCAAGGACAAAGCCCAACAGGATTCCTTAGTCAAAAAGAAATGTTCGCCCCAGTCTCTCCACAGTTTCAGTAGCCTCAGAGCCAGGAGGCCTTTAAATAACATGTAACCCAGATTAAGTGTCATTCCTTTAAGGAATTCCTTGGCAATAAGTGGAAACTTAAAAAGATGACCTTACTTAGGCACTTTGAGCTTTGGGGCCCCTCTAGGTGTCCTCCAGACCAAACTGAGTGGAACTCCAATTTCAAAGAACTGTGCTTGACTCTTAGGATGGGAATTCCATAAAACTCAGATGGCTACATTTTCATGACATTGTTCACTGCCTCTACCACCACCTCTCCCTTCTCAAGGCTGTGGGTCCTACTTTCAGGGTAGCAGCTGTGACTGGAAATCCCAAATTAGGCTTGTGTGAACTCATCAGGTGCCACAAGAACTAGTGGGGCTGGAGATGGGAGTGCGAAGAAGTGTGGCCCATGGATGGAAAGGATAAAACTTTGAAAGAAGAGATTTAATTACATGCAAAATAGAAACATTTGCTATAGTCTGCTTGGTGTTATCTGCTAGGACATTTCTGAGAGCAAGGTGATAACATTGCCTAGAAACCATTTGAGTTTCCCTAAAAAACCTGGAAGTGAAGTGACCATATCTTTTCACAGATAATTGCATATTTTGTTGATGTGGTTAATGTAGTTACTATGACATAAAGATCACTAATCTTAGCCTTAGAAATCAGAGCCATTCAAAATATGGTCCTTATATAACTTTCAACATATTGTCACTCCACTTACATAAACCCCAAACACTAGCCATAATGAACTCTTGTTCTCTCCCCAGACATTCCATGAACTTTCCCATGGCCATACTTTGGCCCACACTATTCTTTCCACCTGCAGTGCTCCTTCTTCACATGCCAGTCTACCAAAATCCTTCCAGCTCCTCAAAGCCCAGCTCAGAGGTCACCTTCTCTATGGAGCCTCTTGATTTCCCCCAACTGAATGTGACATTGATCTCTGTGACATTAGTCTCTTTAACATTAGTCTCTGTGATGCCCCTTTCTTTTTCTTTTATTTATTTATTTCTTTTTTTTTGAGACCGAGTTTCGCTCTTGTTGCCCAGACTGGAGTGCCAATGGCATGATCTCGGCTCATGCAACCTCCGCCTCCCGGATTCAAGTGATTCTTCTCCTGCCTCAGCCTCCCGAGTAGCTGGAATTACAGGCGCCCACCACCCATGCCCGGCAAATTTTGTATTTTTAGTAGAGATCGGGTCTCTCCATGTTGGTCAGGCTGGTCTTGAACTCCCAACCTCATCAGGTGATCCACCCACGTCAGCCTCCCAAAGTGCTGGGATTACAGGCCTGAGCCACTGCGCCTGGCCTCTGTGATGCCCGATTCTAACAGCATTTCATACATGGTACTGATTCCATTATGTCACTAATCTCATGTGACCCTGTGTTCTTGTATTCTTCAATACCTCCTACTAGACTGTAAAACTCATTGAAAGCAGGGATTCTTGTATGCATTTTTAAATCTTCCATTGTGCCTAGGTGCTCAATAACGTTGGTGGAATTATTGAATTGATTATCAAGCTGTGATGTGGTATATCCTCAGGGTGCTGTCCCTTGTACACGAAGATAAAGTTATTGACTCACTGTCAGCAGGACACATGCCTTTGGGCTGTGTTTTTGTTTTCTTTTAATAATGGATTTAGTTTTGTGCTAATGATAATGATGCTGCTGCTGATAATAATAACAATAATAAAAAATTACTTTCAACTGGAACATTTGATGAGTTTGTGTTACTGATGGCATGTTTGCTCTTAGCACCAGTTCAGGAACTGAAATTTCACAAACAGAATCACACTGTATAACTGTCCCATTTATTTCAACTCTAGGATTTTGAGGATTTCCAAGATGACATGTGTTATAGTTTCCCCTTACAGATATCTTAGTAATGCCCTCCTCTTGCATGTCCTTACTGAACCAAATTTGTCCTGTATTTGTCTTACTTGGTTGTAGATTTAGCAGTGAGAACTTCTCACTGAATGCCACAGAAATTAAAGATACAATTGTTGGAGGTATGATGTCAGAGAGCATTTGCCACCAAGGTTGGCAGAAAATGGCTGCTCCAGGAGAGCTGAAGATGAGTTTCCACATCTGCAGATCGGGATGTGTTGGGACAGTACTCAACTTGTGGATTCAAGAAAGTATGAACACAGAGTCTGCATAAGGAAAGGAAAAAGATGCATTTATCTCCCAAGTACACTGGTGATTTCCACTTATGTCATTCTGTCCATCCATGTCCCTTTCTTCATTTTAACTTCTTTTTTAAAAATAATTTCAAACATTTAAAAATGTTGCAAGCATAAATAAAGCTGAAAGAACACCCATGTCCCTTTTACCCTAATTCCCCTATTATTAATATTTCTCCCCATTTGCTTTATTATTTAAGTGTGCACTCTGTCTATACACACACAGGATATTTTTTCCCTGAACTATCTGAGAATTGCATACATCAATTTTCAATATTCCTAGATTCAATGTTTGTAGATCCAAATTATTTTTTAAAAGACTGTGTTTTATCTCTGACAATGCCACAGTTATTACAGAATATAATGAAATGAAAACTCACACGGTATATGTGATATTGTGAAATATACACTTGGTCTTTGATCCTGTTTCCTGGCATACAACTCCTAAAATCCTTAGAATTTTCAAAGTGATATCTTTTTGTATGCTAATGATTGGCTTATGGCTGGCAGCCCCTGGTTGCTTCAGGATGGGAACTAGTCACCAGAAAGACCAAGGCACCATTAGAGGGTTGGGACTTAACAACCTCATTCCGACCTCCAGGGAGGGAAGAGGGGTGGAAGGTTAAGTTGATCACCAGTGGCCAATGATTTAATCAATCATGCCTATGCAATGAAGCTTCCATAAAAACCCCAAAGCACTGGGGTTTCAGAGCTTCCAGATAGCTGCACATGTGGAGGTTCCTGGAGGGTGGTGCCCCAGGGAGGGCACAGAAGCTCTGAGCCCCTTCTGCAGTACCTCACCCTATGCATCTCTTCATGTGTCCTTTGATATATCCTTTATAATAAAGTGGTAAACGTTAAGTATTTCCCTAAGTTCTGTGGCCCTTTCTGGCAAATTAAACCCAAAGAAGGGGTCATGTGAACTAAAAATTGAAGCCCATCTGTCAGAAGTTCTGGAGGCTTGGATTTGCAACTGGTGTCTGAAGGGTCTGGGAACAGTCCTGTGAGACCCAGTCCTCAGCTTGTGGGATATGATGCTATCTACAGGTAGATTGTGTCAGAATGGAATTGGAGTACACCCATCTGGTGTTCGCTGCAGAACTGATTGCTCACTTAGTGTGTGGGAAAACCCCACACATTTGGACATGGAAATATTCTGTGTTGATTGCCATGGTGTGAGAGCAGAGGAAAAAGTTAGGGTACTTTCCCCTCAGAGTATATTTTAAAGCTAAATTGCTAATAATTGCTTAAATTTACTATATTTGCCCTTATAAAAACTTTACATTGTGTATGTTGAAGCCTGAAGCTATGCAATTATAATATAAACGTGGATTTACAACTAAAGTAAGTTGTAATTTAAATAATTGAGTTTTTCAAATCGGTTCATATGAAACCCTAGGCAATACTGTAAAATTATACAGACCTGTCAACTTTTTCCACTTAAATGTTCTCAGCAAAATTTAAGGGCATAGTCGTTTTCAAGTAATTTTAAATGTCAATGTTAATATTTAGTTTAGTGATGTTAATGTGGCTATGTTTTCTGATATTAAAAATGACTTTTAGGAGTTGAGATCAATAAAATAAGGAGGTAATAAATATCTATATCTATTTAAATACATAAAATATACAATTTAACACTAAAATTACTTGGTATAAAAAGTCAAAAGTAAAAGAATAAAAAGCCATCATACAACACAGTATATGCATGATATACATTTTTTTCTAAATATAAACGACATCAGCTTTTCTAAAGCTCAAGTTGAAATAATAAATGACTAATGTTTTGTGACAAATCATTATATGGTATATTTTGACTTAATTTTGCGTTTACAATTTATTTTTAAACATTAAATAGCATTATAATTTTACTGGGATAACTATATATAGTGTAGTATGTTAAAGTTAATAAAATATCGTTGCATGTGAGAGAAAAAGCATAATAAATCAGAAACAATATAAAAAGCTTTCAGAAAAGATAAAAATACTGTATTTCTCTAGTCTGTTCACTCTCCAATGTCTCTGGTTCTTTCATATCATCTTCCTTTCCTCAAATCTTTTAATACTCCCTCCCTCATCATTTCCAACTAGTGACCCTACTTTCTATTTCATTAGGAAAACATACATTCAGAAGAGAACTACCAGTTTAAAGAACATTTATAAAGCCATCACCCATGTAATAACCAGCCAGGGCAAGAAATAGAGCCCTTTAATAACCTATTCCTCTCCCCCCACCACTGATGACATCCCTCCCTCCATCTCAGGTGTAGCCCCTATGCTGACATTTGTAATAATCATTTCTTTGCGTATGTTTATACGTTTTCTTCCTTATAAGCATCCCTAAACAACAGTTTTGTTTTACAGATGTTCAAACATTAAATGCTTTTTAAACTTGGAATTGTGACTGTCTTGTTTCATTCCACATTGCTTGTGAGACTCATCGATATTGCAGATAGCTGTAGTTGATCCATTTTTATTGCTGTACAGTTTACCATTGTATAAATATACCATGATTTATTCATGATAACTTTGAGGAACATTCTGGTTGTTTGCAGGTTTTATTTTTACAGTTTATTAGTTTTATTGATGTATAATAATTGTATATGTTTATGGGGTACACGTGATATTTTGATACATGTGTACAATGTGTAATGATCAAATCAAGGTAATTGGGATATCCATCAGCTCAAACATTTATCATTTCTTTGCATTAGGAACATTACAAATCTTCTCTTCTAGCTATTTTGAAATACACGGCTGGGAGCGGTGGCTCACGCCTGTAATCCCAGCACTTTGGGAGGCCGAGGCGGGCGGATCACAAGGTCAGGAGATCGAGACCATCCTGGCTAACATGGTGAAACCCCCGTCTCTACTAAAAAATACAAAAAATAGCTGGGCGTGGTGGGGTGTGCCTGTAGTCCCAGCTACTCGGGAGGCTGAGGCAAGAGAATGGCGTGAACCCGGGAGGCGGAGCTTGCAGTGAGCCGAGATCGTGCCACTGCACTCCAGCCTGGGCAACAGAGCGAGACTCCGTCTAAAACAACAACAACAACAACAACAAAACACTGTGGTCATTCTGTTGTGCTATTGAACGCTAGAACTTATTCCTTCTCTCTAACTGTATTTTTGCACCCATTAACCAATCTCTCTTCATTCGCCCCTCTGCAGCACCCTTCCCAGCCTCTGGCAACCACAGTTCTACTCTCCACCTCCTTGAAACTTTTTAGCTCCCACATGAGTGAGGACATGTGATATTTGTCTTTCTGTGCCTGGCTTATTTCACTTCACATAAAATCCTTCAAGCTCATCTGTGTTGCCACAAATGACAGGATTGCATTCTTTTTTAAATACCTGAATACTATTAAATCGTGTACATATTATCACATTTTCTTTATCCATTTATTTACTGATGGACACTTAGGTTGATTCCATAACTTGGATCTTGTAAACAGTGATGCAATAAACATAGGAGTGCAGATATCTCTTCAATATATTGTTAAAAAATTTTTTGGATATATATCCAGCAGCAAGATTGCTGAATCATAATGGTAGTGCTATTTTTAGTTTTTTGAGGGACACCCATACCGTTGTCCATAATGGCTGTACCATCTTACATTCCCAATAACAGTGTATGAGAGTTCCCCTTCCTCCACATCCTTGTCAGATTCTGTTTTTTTTTTTTTTTTTTTTTTTTTGTCTTTTTGATAATGGCCATTTTAACTGGGGTGAGATGAAATCTTATTTTTGACTGTTAAAAAACGGTGCTACCATCAATGTTCTTGGTAGTGTATATAAACACAGGTATTTCTAGGGCACTTATGTAAGAATGGAATTACTGGTTTATGGAATATGAGCACCTTCAA